ACAAAACGACGACGCTCTATTCAGAAACACAACACTTACTTCAGAGGACGAAACCGCACCGTAACGGTCACGTTTTCCTTCGCGTCCAAAGGCACGCTCTCGGAAAACGAGTACGGTGTCTTGCTCCGAGCCGACGAAGACGCAGGCGAGCTCAGGCCATCGACGGAAGTTTCTAGAAACAGTTTCGACGACGACGTCGTCGAAGACGAAGGCGAATTCGCCGCTCTGGAGCCGCTAAACACTACTCCCTTCGACTTCGACTTCGCGTTCGCGCTTCGTTTCGGTGCCATTGCCACTTCCACAGAAGCCTTCTAAGCAACAAAACAAACAGCGAAAAAAAAAAAAAACACGTAAACTCAGCGAAGACGCTAATAATGATGAAGAAAAAACGAGGCGAATTACTTGAATGTTGAATCCGTCAGTTCATCATCTAGTTAGCAGAAGAAGAAGAAGAAGAAGAAGCGGAAAATTCGAAGAAACGATTTCGCGGAATTTCGAAAGAGGGAGAAGAAGGTTGGAGTGTTGACCTGAGAGGAGAGAAAATCAGAGGCGCATTGTGGCAGCGACGCGAAGAGACGGAGATCGGAGACAGATGAAGATCGGAAAGGGAAATTGATGTGAGGGAGTTTTAGGCTTTAGAGTGGGCGAGAGTGGAGAAGAAAATATAGCGCATCAACTTCAACATGCATCAATTAGAACGAGACAGAGTGAGAGAATGGGAAATGGTGAGTTTTACTAGTGAAGGTAAGAAGGGAAACGCGAGGAAGCAAAATTAAATGCTCGCAATTCACAAACTCTCTTTAATGCATTTTTTATTTCTCCATCGGAATTTATTGTCGTTGAAATTATAAACTTTTGTAGGATTTATTTTTGCTCTATGGAATTTGATAGAAATTATTTTTATTTAATTAATAATCTCTCAAAAATAATAAATTTTAATATAAGTTTGAACGGTAAAAAACTATGCTAAAAATATATGTTAAAAAGTGTGAATTAGGTGTTTTTTTATGTTTCGAAACACTGAATTCTCTTGTCTAAATCATTATATACTATGGTAGTTACGATAAAAAATTTTCATAAAAATATTTCACATCATTTTTAAAGATGATAATTTTATGCTTGTAAAATATAATTTCTACATTAGGTTGAAACATAATTTTTGTTAAATAAATATTATTTTAATATATACGATAATCAAAATTAAAATATTTTATTAATTTATCGATAACGTAAGAGTAATTTATCGTAAGTTTGTTGTTACTGTTAGAATTAACGCATCTGAGATATTGTTTACTTTGACGTTTGTTTGGTCGTCATGATTTTATCTTTAATGAGAGAAAATGTTTATAAATTACTCTTAACTTCAACTCCTAAATTTTGATTCTTAAGCAATGTGAGATTTTTTTTAGATATACCGAGATAAAATGAAACATATAAAAAAAAATAGAGAATGATGGTGATGAAAAACAACGACATTGACGTTTAAGAAGGGTGGCAAGAAGTCAACGTCAAAATTAGACTAGAAGAGGGAATCTATTTAACAAATGGTTTTGTTTGATTTTTTTTATCTGACAGATAGGAAAGTGTTTTGTAGACGGGAAAACATGTGGTGGCGGCTCAAAGGAAACAGGAAACTGAAAACATGCGAGTGGTGTGTTGGGTCTTTGTTTTGATCTTGGACGAAAGTGGCAGCGGAATTTTCTTTTTATGAGTCAAAATTATGATCATGGTAAGGGAACTTAAATTTAAGATTACATACGAATTATTTCAATCCTCTGACCACTTACGATTAAAAATAAAGAGAATAATAACACAAGTGATACTCACTTATCTTTTAATTAAATTATTCAAAATTTAAATTTTGAGATTAGACATAAAATAAATTATATTAAATAAAAAAAATATTTGCTTTTGTATTGACCATCTCCAACAAAATTAATAAAATCTTCACACAATAGATTTTTCATTCTAATACTATAATTACAACAATAATCATGATTTTATATTATTTTGGTTTTACATTATCATCTCGTGACAATAAAATTTAAATTTTAAATTATATATATATATATATATATATAATCTTATAAATATTATTTCGACTTTAACATTACTTACTGTACCGTCCTGGTTAGAATCTGATATGATCCCTTTACATAGGTATTGATCCGATGTATGGCCAACTAAGCCCTCTCGCCTTACAGGTTCAGGGCTAGAAGTCAAGTGTACCGTCCCAGTTAGAATCCGATCTGATCCCTCTATATGGGTCCACTCGGTCAAAATCCGATCTGATCCCTCTACATGGCCGAACTCGGTCAAAAATTCGATCTGACCTTTTGCGCAGGTGCATTATCTCGGTCAGAATCCGATCCAACTTTCCCACACAGACGTTGATCCGATATCAAGGACAAAATCATACTTTCTCGGCTTATTTCCAATATGGTCCCTAGGAAAATGACCGAGACTTGTTGTTACACGTCGGAAGTATCTCGCACGGAGCAATTGCTTAAGCCCTTTTGCCTTATAGGCTCAGAGCTGGAAAGCAAGTGTACCGTCTCGGCCCACATCCGATACGATTCGTAGGAAAATGACCGATACCCCTTTCACCTCGTCATGTGGTGGTACTCGGCAAAAGACTGACCTGATTCTACCATAAGGGTGAACCCGATCGGAATCTGATCTGACCCTCTCACAAGAGTGATCTCGGCAAAAGTCCGACCTTACCTGGTCGCATGGGTGAGCTCGGCCAGAGTGAGCTCGGCTAGAGTAAGCTCGGCCATGGTAAGTTCGGCCTGGGTGAGCTCGGCCAGGACCCAAGCGGGTCTTACCTCTCTTGTTGATCCGAGAATTAAAGATGAAAATCCTATCTTTAATGATCAAATATTCCCAATGGAAACCATTATGGAAATCTTTGCGCTCACGAGGCCCAGGAGGCCCATGAATGAAAAAGTATAAAACCTAAAACCCTAGAGTTAAGAGGGCAGATTACAGATTACACTTTTAAATGTTCTAACTCTAAGGTTTATCCTAGGAAGAAACCATAGTTCACCCTTTGGCCGGAACACTTACAAATAAGGATAAAGAGGGAAAAAAATACATGCAGCAATATTAATTTTACATTATCATTACATCATAAATTAGATGGTGGTTATATATTTGAACTCTTACTTTAATGTGCTATTAATTTTGGTTCTCATAACTTTAATTGCTTAATTTTAATCAACAAATCTTAAAAAAAAAAAAAAGTTAATCACTTATATTGTTGGTGTAAAGTTTTTTTACACTGGCAACCAATTATATCTTTTAATTATATCATGTCACTGTTAAAAATAAATGTGTTTACAGTGACATGACACAATTAAAAGATATATTACCAGTGTAATTTTATACTAGCAGTGTATAGATGATTAACTCTTAAAAAAATGGAGAATTTAATATTATTATTGTTGCATTAAATTTTAACATACATATGCGTTACAATTTTAATAAGTCAAAATTTACTAAATTGGACATATGTTACAGAGGCATTTGACATGACATTATTTATTTACAAGTGAAATTATTTAATATGAAATTATTCAATATTTTATTAACATATTTCATAAATTTTAAATATTAAATAATTTAATTTATCAAAAAAAAACTAATGTCGTATTAAATGTTTGCGTAGTGTAAATTAAATAGTGAGTTAATAAATAAGACTAAAATTGTCTATTTTCTAAATGCGTCAGCCAAATTAAATTGAGTAATTAAAAGTTTAAAACCTTGGAACCAATTGAGTGAAGCTCATTTAGTTGAGTAGGGTTGGTGGGTGTTATAAATCCTTTGATACCCAAATTTAATTCTCATAAATCAAAAAAAATTATGGAACAAAATCACACATGGCTTAAAATACCGTATAGATCATAAGTACCAAATGTGTAATTAAGTGAAAATTAAATTACTATCTTACCTTTAACTTAGGCTCGTGCATATTGTTGTAGATTACATTTCTTTTATTTCTAAAATTTTTAATTAATTATCAAAATAAAATATTTTTAATTTACTACAAACAAACAATTGAAATGTAAAACAATATATTCTATTGTTTTATTTAATTATATGGTTGAAGATTGTAAACTCTAATTTTCATAAATAAAATAAAATAATTTAAATTATTATCTGAGTTTTTTATTTAATTATGAAAGATTTTTTTAAAAAAATAATAAATATGGAAGGGTTTTATTTTGAGGTTGATTTTGTTTTTGTACCGGAAGGGTCCTATCGGCCACGTGGATCGGCCACGTGGATCGACATGTCATGTCTTATCAGATAATGATGCAGCCCGAATACCACCTCGGCTCGGTAAGGGGCCGAGGGCTCGGAGAATACTCGTTCTCCTATCGGCTCGGCCATAGACCGAGAGGCCGTCTCGGCCACTCCCTATCGGCTCGGCCAAGGACCAACAAAGGATAGTTACAACAATGATCATGGTTAACAAGGGACAACGCGTAATTAAGGCATAACCAGCCGATTAGCATCGTATTACCTAATTTGGTAAGTGTTAGAGAAGGCCCACCATGCTTAGGCCCATGACAGGTACTATAAATAAGTCACACGAAACGAGGTATGTCACTGTTCATTTATTACCCTAGAAAATCGTGTTTGTCCTAACTTGAGCGTCGGAGTGCCTTTTGCAGGTACCTCCCCCCTCTGAAGCGTCCACCTGAAGCTCTCATCTGGCCCTCTACCTACCAGAAGATTACGAGTGTACCCTCAGATAGGTACATTTTGGCGCCCACCGTGGGGCCGAACCGAGAGACTTAAGAAAACACTGAGTGAGCATCATGGCAAAGACAAGGAGAACACACATTGAAGATCACCGATCCGAGGAGGAGCATCGATCCGAAACAAAAAATGCTGAGACGGTTGATGAGACCAATATGGCCGAGTGGTCCAGCAAATGAAGGAGGAAATGGCAGCCATGAAGCAACAACGAGAGAGAGATGCTCATGAGATGGTCGCCTTGAGGGAAGAGAACGCCACTCTAAAAAACCAAAACCGGGACCCCACGTGGAAACCTTCCGAGCTGACTCACACCCAGGGATCGTTCCACTCGCTCGGACATCATACTTCTCTCCCTCACACTTCTGTTATCGCCCCGGGAAACCACGCCTCGGCTGCCCCAGTAACCGGCCGACCCGCGTACGCTTCGCCAACCGGAGCACATCGACACCCGTTCACCCCAAACATTATGCAGTCTTCACTTCTCGACCATTGGAAGTCCCTGCCATTAGACAAGTATGATGGGACGACCAATCCGGACAAGCATGTGGATGTGTTCCTGACCCAAGTCACTTTGAGCACCACTGATGATGTAGCATTGTGCCGAATCTTCCCAACGTCATTGAAAGGATGTGCGCTGAGCTGGTTTACTCGACTTCCAGCTAACTCGATCGACTCGTTCAACACGTTAGCATCCCAATTTACCATCCAATTTGCTACCAGCTGACCCCACCAGTTGACCTCTTTGGCATTGGTCAGTATTCAGTAGGAGAAGAAGGAATCCCTTCGGGCATTCATGAGCCGATTTAACCAGGCGGCGCTAGAAATCCGAGACTTGAATCCCGCTGTAGCCCTCCATCACCTTACTACCGCTATGAAGCCTGGACCTTTTGCCAATAGCATTTGCAAGAAACCGCCAACTGACATGAACGACTTGCGCCGGTGTGCCGACAAGTACATGCAGATGGAGGAATTAGCAGAGTTTCGTAACCAGGCCAGGGCGGAGGTGGTGGCG